GCTGAGACAGGCAGGAAGGATCTCTGAATGACTATAATCCTTTGTCCAACCATGTGTCATTTGCACCGGAATACCAGTTAAGTTTGTTCCTCACAGGATTGGAACTAGAATTACGGGCTTTGGTTTGCAGCCAAAATGCTACCAACGTTATTGTTGAATGTTATATCTTTTCTATTTTCAAGGTTTATTTAGATGATTTCTACCAATAACTATAATTGATATTTAGAAATCATTATCAAGTATATTTCTTGATATGCTTGATGCATAATAATTTGTACAACTGATTTTCTCATTTGAACTGTAAGTGGCATTTCATATCTGAAATTTTTTTTTTATCATTCTCAATCTCCCCCTTCAATTTACCTCCGCCTTCTCTTATTGCTTTTTCATGATGGTTTTTCTCTTTGGAGTGTGCATGTGTATCCCTTTGTGTTTTGGTTGGTGGGAAGGAAATGCATTTGTTGGTCCCATAATTTTAAGCTGTACACTTTTATGTGGAAAATTAACTAGCACATTTATCCTTATTTCTAGAAGATTTATGGCTTCTTATTGTTGTTAATAAGCTTCACATGTCTTATTTTCTTTCTGTTTCTTTTCTTGTAAGGTTGATGACATCCTTGGGGAATATGCAGATCTTTTTAAGGAACATTATTATATAAAACCATCAGGGAACTGTGACCTTTCTAGGTTAAGTGATCCCCACAATGAATTTAGGGGGAAGAATGTCCTTATTGAAAGAAATGATCCTGCTGCATTGGCATCAAAGTTTGGAATGTCGATTGAGCACTACTTTGATATTTTGGGTAAATGCAGGCAAAAGCTTTTTGATATAAGGTCACGTCGACCCAGGCCACATTTGGATGATAAGGTATTATCTGGTGAAATGGCAACTTGACCATCCCAGCTCATTTCTGTTAGGGTTTCTCTTACTTTTCCTGCAGACCTTAACATCAGGTGCTTACTAGGTAATTGTATCCTGGAATGGACTGGCAATTTCATCTTTTGCAAGAGCTTCTAAGATTCTCAAGAGTGAAGCTAAGGACACCAGATACCATTTTCCTGTTGTTGGTTGTGAGGTAGGATCCAATCATCTTTTGCCTGTTTGAGTAATTCAGAATTATAATATCAGTTATTCTGCTTTGTTCTATTTTTAGGGGTGCATGAGTAGAAGATATTTTCTCATGGTGTGTTGGATATTTCTTATTTTAGTTTGAATCTATGCCCAGAACTCTTTTTTCTCTCTCATTTTTAATGCCCGACAATCAGAAGTCATTCTGTTTCTAGGGTTCCTGATATTTAGCCTTATGCAAAGATTTAGCTTTTTTTTTTATAATTATTGGATCTAGATTCTTATTGGGTACATGCAAATAAGTCTGATTTGTAGCATGGCTAGGTGGTTTCTTCTGACAGCTTTGGTTAAAATGGGTTGTGAACTCATGTTTAGTCCTACAGGGTAGCTTGTTCATTGATGTTTTCATTGTCATTCTATAGTGATGTATTTTTGTGCAGTCCTTC